CTGGACTCTAGAGTGATGGATTCAGGATTTGCTTTCAGGTATTTTGATAGCTGTTGGAGTGGTTAAAATAGTGTCTGTTCCCTATCAAAAGCTTCTAGATGGAGGGGCAGAAGCAAATTTATCTATCATTTTAGAACAATAGCTGGTTGTCTCCCTTAGCTACAGGTGGGCACTACAGTATTGGAGCCCAAGATTTGAAGTCTTATATCTGAGCAGCACTTTCTGGTTAGGAACAAAATTGTCAATGAGAAAAAATTGTCTAAATAAGTTTTTATATAGACTTAAACCTAATGTCTGGGAAGTATAATACCTTGAACTCTTAAAGAAGACGATGACTTTACTCTTTGGTTATACTTTCCTTTGGGTGTTTAAAACCATGCAGTTGGACCAAATAAATCAACAATATTTTTACACTTAAGGCCATTTGAGGATCTGTTCCTCAGGGGTCACATGGGCCCAGGAGGAGCCCCTGGCTCCTTTCCTTTACCAGTTCCATCTATGTGAAGATAAGTCAAAGGTCCTGCTTGAATGTGGCTGGCTTCACTTGGACTGGACACTGGTTGAAGTCCATTTAGTGGGGTCTCCATGGCTGCCTTGAACAAGAGGACAAGTGACACACCACATTTACAGGACATTTTGAGAGATGAGCCATAGTCCCCTGGAGGTTAGTAGACCTAGGAGGGCAAGGAGATAGTCCCCTGGAACTAGTTGACCTAGGAGGGCAAGGAACAAAAACTGTCCTTTAAGTCCCTCTGACCATATTAGTATAGGCCTTAAAGAAGGCTGTTAAACATCCAATAAGGTTACTTCCACCAGCCTGGTACTTTTAATTATCATGTGCTATGTAGATAATGCTTGGTTAAAAAACCAAATATTCTCAGATATACATTGACTAGATATATATTTTGTTCCTTTACCTAAAACCTTCATAATACACATGTTGGTGACATAGTCCTTTATTAGCACCTTATTTCTTCATGCCGGGTGTTTAGCATCTCTTACCAACATTTTTCCAGAGACTCCAAGATGTCATAGCAGAGGCAGGAAAGGAGCAAAAGGCACAGAGACTAAAAAGAAAGACAGGATGTGGGCGACACAGAGAGGGCAGATATCAAGATAGAGAGGGAATGATCATCAGGAAGAAAATACAAGGGGAAGGGGAGAAGGACAGGAAGACTGAGAGACACGTAAACAGGCAATCAGAGAGATGGAGAGATACAGAAAATCAGACGAGCCTCAGGGAAGGATCTGCAAAGCCATCAGAGAAGGCAGACAGATGAGACTCACAGAAAAGGGCCACACTTGGCCTTCTTACCCTCAGGGGCCATGGCTAAACCTGGCATACACAGGCATCAAGTGTAAGCGAATGGTAATTCTGGAACACCACAGAGCCTGGACATCAAGAAGAGGGAGGAAGTAGGCTGACAGATAGTGGAGAGAGCGATCCACTGGCCACTTCTCTGCGCCATTATTGCCAGCAGGCCTTAACTCTTACTAGTCTCAGAGTGGGAATGGGGGCCTGGAAGGAGATGGCGTGGAGACTGCACAGCTCTACTGCTAGGTTCCCAGGGTCTGAAACCCGGCCCCAGTCATGAGGAGCTGTGTTTCCTTGGTGAAGTTAGCTAACTTCTGTGCCCATCTACAAAATGGAGAGGGGGATGGTATGATGATAGAATTGCATCTTCTTGACAATGTTGTGGGAAAATTAAATAAAGCAATACATAAAGAGCTTAGAACAGGGCCTAGGACATAATACGTGTTGGTGGGTGTTGGCTCTTACTGCCCTGCTTTGACTAGTGAGTGGTGGGGACAGTCTCACAGAGAGGGCACTGAAACTGTCCCCCAGGTCCTTGATTCTGTGTCTCCTGTTCTATCTTCTCACCCTCCAGGAGCCCCCCTGGATCCCACCTTCCTCTTCCAGTGTATCACTTCTAACATCATCTGCTCGATTGTCTTTGGAGAACGCTTTGACTACAAAGACCAACAGTTCCTGCGGCTGCTGGACATGTTCTATCAGTCCTTCTCCCTCATCAGCTCTTTCTACAGCCAGGTCAGGGGACAGGAAGAGACGGGTGTCCTGGAGAAAGGGAAAGGAAAGGCTGCTTTGGGTGTGCAGAAGGATGTGTCTTTGGGTTGAATGGAGGGTACAGACAACACAGAGGGACAGAAAGGCTGAGCCCTGGAGGTGGGGGAGGGAGCGTGCACAGGAAGGACAGATTCGGGGTGCAGAAACACAGAGCCAGAGTGACAGGAAGGAAATGGGGAGTTCAGGAATGGGGGTGGAGCTCTTGGTAGAGGGCTTGCCTGGGATGCCTGAAGCTCTGGGTTCACCCAAGTACTACTTTACCTCTGTGAGATGGTGTACCACTGGAATCCTAGCACTGGGTGCTGAAGGCAGGGGATCAGAAGTTTAAAGTCATTCTTGGCTACCTATTGAGTTTGAGGCCAGTCTGGGAGACATGAGATCCAGTGTCAAGAAACAAAACTACACAACACAAAACCAAATAAAACAGGAGTTAGAGAGATGGCTCAGAGGTTCAGAGAACTGAGTGCTCTTTCCCAGGACCAGGGTTGATTCCCAGCACTCACATAGTGGCTAACAACCATCCATAACTCCAGTTCCAGGGGATCCAATGCCATCTTCTGAAGTCCATGGGCTGTCCATGACACGGGTGCACTTCCATACATGCACATACACATAAAATAAAAATAATAAAATATTTAAAAACAAGACAAAACAAAACAAAGGAGGGCTTTGGAGGGTGGAGAGAAGGAAAAACAGGGAGGCTGAGAATACAAGGCAAGGGCTAGAGAAAGACAGAAAGCATGAATATGAGGGAGAGAGAGAGAGAGAGAGAGAGAGAGAGAGAGAGAGAGAGAGAGAAGAAAAAGAACAAGTTGCATGTGCACTCCCTGAATCCTGAGACTTGATGGCTCCAGGTGGCCTCACAGGCCCTTCTGTGTTCTAGGTGTTTGAACTCTTCCCTGACATCCTGAAGCACTTTCCTGGTACCCACAGGCAAATCTCCAAAAACCTGCAGGAAGTCCTCGACTACATTAGCCATAGTGTGGAGAAACACCGGGCCACCTTGGACCCCAGCGCCCCAAGAGACTTCATTGATGTTTACCTTCTGCGCATGGAGAAAGTAAGATCTGCGAGAATGAGAAGGTGGAACGTGTGGGAGTGAAGTCTGGGAATGTGAGGAGAGGAGGGGGAGGAGGATAGGGACGAGGGGCAGGACAATGGAGGGGAGGCGATGCAGAAGGATGGGGACATGCAGACAAGAGAAAGGGAGAAAGTGAAACAGGGAGGGAAAAGGGAGTTTGACTGGGGAAGAAACACAGGGCAGGAGACAGGAAGCAGAAACCCCCCACGGGAAGAAAGAGCCTGGGAGACAAAAGATGACAAACATAACACGGACCCACAGAGAGTGAGATGAAGGAAGAATAAAGAGAGGCCAGGGACATGATGGGAACAGAGACATGGGAAGTGGTCCACACAGTGAGTCCGCAGACAGGGCGGTGCCCAGGGATATGAGTGTGCCTTCCTGCGTGCACACTCTAGAGTCTCCTGACCTGCCCTTCTTTCTCCCCCATCTGGAACCAGGAGAAATCCAACCAACAGACAGAGTTTCACCACAAAAACCTCACCATCTCCCTGCTTTCTCTCTTCTTTGCTGGCACTGAGACCAGCAGCACCACACTCCGCTACGGTTTCCTGATCTTGCTCAAATATCCCCATGTGGCAGGTATGTCAGAGATAGCCAGCTGGGAGGGTTTTCTTACTCCCTTTTGGATGCAGAGGTTGGTGTGGATGAGAGAGTCAACACTGGCTTTTTATTTCTGGAGGTCTGCCGGCTTTGGTCTAGCTCCAAACTAAGCCAGTCATATTGTTGAGTGATTGAACACTTTATTAACCTGTTCTTCCATTGTTTTCTCCCATCACATAAAGATTGGTCTGTCTATTCATCCATCCATCCATGCATCCCTCCATCCCTCCATATTTCCTCTCATTAGCCACCGATCTAGTCATGTACCCACACAACCATCCATCTGTCCATCCATCCATCTATCCATGCATCCATCCATCCATCCATCCATTCATCTTTTCATCTACCCACCTATTCATTCATCTACTGATTCAATTCATGTACTCACCTATCCATTCACCCATCTACCCATCTATCCATTCACCCATGGATAATAAATGAGTAGGTGGACTGAATGGTAAATCAATTATTTTTTTCCAACTCACAGAACATTTTATTCATACAAGATGTATAATGTCAGTTCAGAATTTTAAAGTGCTTTTTGATGTTTTTTTTAAACAGGCAATTTTAATAACTTCTGTAGAGAAATAATAATTCTTTAACTAAAAATCAAAATGAAGGCTGAGAATATAGCTCAGTTGATAGCCCTGTGTTCAATACCCAGCACCATATAAAACAGACATGGCTCACATTCCTCTAATCCCAACACTTCTGAGGTGGTAACAGGAAGATCAGCAGTTCAAGATCCCAGCAGGCTCAGAGTACTGACAGAAGTAAGGAAATGTCAACCAGGAAATGCACAGGATGAAGAAGCAAGGCCTGGCTCCAAATGCCCATCCTTACAGGTTTCACCTAGTACACAAGGACCCTGCACAGTAAGGACTTTGTGGACTGGCAGATGGGCTCTTTCTTGGCTCTCCACCACAGAAGGATCAGCATCCAGCAAAGACCCTCAGAACACAAATGCATGCTGGCAGGTGGGCTGGCCCAGCCCCTAGTCCCTCCAGCGGTGTGCACACTGAGTGTTGCAACACTGATAGAAATGCCTATTCATCCACCCACAGCTCTATCCATTCATCTACCCACCTAACTGTCATCGGTCCATGTATTCATCTATTTATTTATTCATGTACCCAACTCATCTAACCATCAATCCAGCCAAGCACACAGTCACCCACCCATACATTTATCCACCCACCCACTCATCTATCCACTCAACAATGTAATCATTCACTGACCAACTAATTTGTGCACTCATTGATTCTTTAATCACCGAGGGCACATATTTCCTTTGTGATTTTGATTAATCAACTTATAAGTTTATTCTTTGATCACTGATGGTTGTTATTAATTCATTGATTTGTGAGTACAGGCATCTATCCTCCTATCAACAGGTTTTATTCTTTAATCCTTCTACCAAATGTTCATCATATCCATCTTTCACTTTTCCATCTATTCTTCCAAGTATCCATTTAATTTAACTCATCCATCTGTGATTGATTTACCATCCACTCCACCTATTTATTTATTCCTATATTTACTCATGCTTTCACAATTTATTAATTCACACATTCTTCCATAAATCTAGTGGATACCTGATTATTGGTCCATTAAGTTCATTGATTTTCTATGAACCATTTATGAACTGTTTCATATATTGACGAGAAGTTCGAACACATGCATCCAGACTTCAGTTTGTTCATTGCATTCACTCATCAATCTTTCCATTCATTAACTGATTTAATCTATTGATTGACTTATGCACTCATTTTTTCATGCAGCTGTTGATGGATTAATGTATGGATCTACTTCCCTGCTGTACTCCTGTGGACCTAAACCAAGGTTCTTAGTCTCCAGTCCTTAATATGCAATTCCATGCAAATTTAGTGTGTGTGCGTGTGTGTGTAACTGTGTGTGTGGGGAGACAATTCATACAGCTCATTGTCTTCTAAAGGTGATGATTTTTTATTGCTTTTGTCCCTCCTGCCCTCACCCCAAAACGATTGCCCTGAGGGGTCCTGATGCAATAACCTCTTGCTGTAGGTTTTTCTTATAGTTTGTGGCAACAGTTGGAGCTTACTGAGGAGAGCTTTTAAATTTTTATTTATGTATATTTAATATGTATCAGTATTTTGTTTGCATGTATATAAATTTACCATGTTTTGCAATGTCCTTGGATGCCAGAAGAGGACTTTGCAACTCCTGGAACTGGAATTACAAACTGTTGTTACCCCCTCTGTGGGTGCTGGGAACCAAATCCAGGTCCTCTGCAAGAGCAGTCAGTGCTCAAAATGGCTGAGCCATCTCTCTGGTCTTGAGAACTTTGAATACAGTCTTAAGCTGTAAGATAGATGGTTAAGTTCAGGACAGTTGTAAGTGTCCAAGAGTGTGTTGCAACTTTCTCAGGAGAGTCGCCTTGCTGTGTGCTCTCCTTGGGTTACTGGTTCACAGAAAATAATGTCACTGCAGAAATGCCTGTGAAGTGGGTTCACTGTTTCTTTTCTTGGTACAGAGAAAGTCCAAAAGGAGATCGAACAGGTGATTGGTTTACACCGCCTACCAACCCTTGATGACCGCATCAAAATGCCATACACTGAGGCAGTCATCCATGAAATTCAGAGATTTTCAGATCTTCTCCCGATTGGTGTGCCACACAAAGTCACCAAGGACACTCTATTCCGGGGGTTTCTGCTCCCCAAGGTGAGACCATGGGATTCCATATCTTTTTGGTAGAAGCATCCTCCATCCTCCTAAGTCCCCATCCCAGCCTGTTGGTGGCTTGTCTACAGAGTCTCCATGTTTTATTTATTTACTATTTTTTATTTATTATTCATTAACTGGTTTGCACTTGGCATCAGGGAATGGTAATATCTTTTTATCCTGTACTTCTCCTCAGAACACTGAAGTATACCCCCTCCTAAGCTCAGCTCTCAATGACCCACGTCACTTTGAAAAACCAGACACCTTCAACCCTGACCACTTTCTGGATGCCAATGGGGCACTGAAGAAAAATGAAGCTTTTATGCCTTTCTCCACAGGTAAGATGGTCCTGTGATTCCTTTCCCAGACACCAGGGAGCAAGTCCATCCTCCAGGACACAGTCAGCAATATATCTCTTTCAGCTGTTTTGCTTGAATTATCCCAGTTCACCCTAGCTGCAACAACATGAGGGGCTGGAGAACAAAAATAAATTCGTATAAGGAGTACTTTGAGAAAATGTTAAAAAAACCCATCTAAACCAGAGAAAATTAATTTTCTTAAGAAACAACAGCAGCAACATGCAAACACCATCATGAGCACTGCTATGAGCTGGGTAGTCTTAAAGCTGTTTGGATTTTTCCTTGATCCCTGGGGAGTTGGAGTAGGTCTTGACACATGTGTCTCTACAGTATGGTTGGTAACAGCTCCACTTTGGCCTTACTGGGGCGTGCTGGAGAAGAGGCAGCATGGCGTGTGTTGGCTGCGCTGATTGGCTGCGACACTGTTATTTGTTGACAGAATATAATCTCAAGTTAGTTTGAAGGTCACTTGCCTGTTAAGTTGGGTTAAAATGTGTTATGTAGAGTCTGCCTTAAGCCAAAATTTTGAATTTAATAAACTTTACACACTCTACCCATGAAAACCCCAATGCTCAGATTTCCTATATTCTGGGAAAAATGAAATCCCCAGAAAAAACTCTCTAGGCTTTTATTTTCTGTGCTAGGACAGAACCCAGGACTTTGCATGTGTTAGGCAAGTTCTCTTCAAAGAGCCAGACCCTGGTGTCTCACTGGTCGATCTAGACAAGGCTCTACTGCTCAGCCGTGGCCCCATCTCCTCAAGGGTGGATTCCACACAGGCGCTCTAGTGCGGATGCAAGCCCCAGCCCCTCCTTGGTAGAGTCTAGGCAAGTGCTCTACTGCTGAGCCGCACCCCAGCCAAGAACTGCCTAGTCTTGAGTGTCATAGTGTCATAGGCTCAGCCCTGTTCTGGCTCTGTCCAATATGATGGTCTCCTCCCTCATTTAATCTTCAGAGTTGGGGACAAGAAGCAGAACGGGATAAAAGTGGATGCCTCCGTTCAATAGTCCTAGCCTAAGTTTAGAGAACGGTAGAGATGTGGAGAAATAAGGACAGACGTGAAAAGTAGAGAGATGATGAAACGGAAACAAAGACCACAATGAAGGGAGGCACAGAGAGAGGGAGACAGGGTGACCAGGGCGGGAAGAGGCATTTTGTAAGACTCGGAGTGTGAACATGAGACAATGGAAGAAGGAGGGTGGTGAGGAGGAAGGAGGGGAGGGAGTAAGAAAAGGAGAGAGCAGGACGAGGAAGGGAGAGGGAGAAAAGCAGGATGAAAATGGGCACAACCGGCTGGGGAGATGGCTCAGCAGGTAACAGCACTGGCTGCTCCTGCAGGGGACTCGGGTTTCGTTCCCAGCACCCACATGGCGGCTTACAACCATCCTTACGTCTCGTTCCATGGGATCCAGTACCCTCCTCAAATGTGTGCAGGCATTGTACAACAGAGTACACGTACATACGTGCAGAAAGAACACTCTTACACATAAAATAAGTAAACATTTAAGAAATAGAGAAAAGGGACCTAAAGGCAAAAACTTGGAATGAACAAGTGACAAGTATCTTTAGAGAAGAGAAGAAGACGAGTAAGAAGAGGAGGAGGAGGAAAGGAGAGAATATGAATGTATATGGGGAATTTAGAAAAAACAAGCAGGAAAGAAATGGTAAAAATAAACAAATAGTGCCTGACAGGTAGACAAAGGTTCGGGTACACTGCCTTGGGCAGAAAGAAAGAAAAACATGGAGGCAAATTTTAGAGCTAAAGAGATATTTACAGTGTCCAGTAGCCAGTGCCAGGGTTGATAAAGCTGTGTGGAGAGTGAGATGTCATTAAACTGTTCTGGAAAAATTGAGGCCACAGAACCAGTTTTAGAACTCTGCCAGTGAGCTTCTGTAAGAATGTCTAAACTCATGTTCTGGAGATGCCAAAGGGTATGAAACTTTCCCAGACACCTCCATGCAGGCACCTCCTGAAAGACCCATGGGTGGTTGGGAAATCCTGCCTCCACTTGTCTCCCCCCCCCCCAGGGTACAAAGTTTGTTTTTTAAGAAGTACTGAGGTACAGGGCAGGTGCTGGTCTCTGCTCAGGCTGACAGGCTTCCTTTGCTTGAATTCTGCTCCATGTCCATAGTTTCCAAACCAGCCCCAGGCATCATGTGGAGCTGAAGACCCCACCTCCTCATGTGCATCAGTTCCATTCTCAATATTACAAACAATTATTTCAGGGAGCTTCTTAAAGCTCATAGATCACATGCTGAGTCCAGAAGATGAGAGAGCGAGAAAGAGAGAGAGAGTCTTGTATACTCCCACCACAATTAGTCTTCCATTTTCTCCATCTTTCTCTCCTTCTGTCTCTGCTCCCCCCTTCCCGCCCCTTCTCTCTCCCTCAAGAGCCGCTCCTTCACTCCTCTCCTCCCCCCTCTCCTCCCTTTCCTTCTCTCCATGCCTTCCCCGCCTGTTTCTTCTTCTGTTTCCTCCCCTCCCTCACCCCTTTCCTCCCTTCACCCTCTCCATTTCTCTTCCTCCTCCTCCTCCCTCTTCCTCCTCCTCCTCCCTCCTCCTCTTCCTTTCTCCTCCCCCCCCTCCTCTATTGGATTTTGAAGACATGTTCTTGCTCTATAGTCCAGGCTGTTCTGAACTCATGATCCTCCTCCTCAGCTTCCCAAGTGAAGGAAGACAGCGATGTGCCATAATGTCTGCTCATAGAGGAGTCTCAGTACCATCCAGTGCTCATCTAGGAGTCTCGACACATGCCAACTTCACACTCGAAATGGCCTTGGCAGGTGAATGCCATTGTCCATAGGAGAGAAATGAAGTACACAACAGATGTCAAGTCATAAATGTGTGCACATTTACACAAACACCCTCATACTCAACTCCAAGTGGATTCTCACCTCCTCTGGGGCAAAGGAGCCTCTAGAAACAGTGTTTTGCATGTTTTTGTTGTTGTTGAGGTTTTGGTAATTTCTTAATAGTCCTCCTGAATCACAGTTAAGAACGAAACTCACACACATCCATTGCAATGGGCACAGGTGTCTGGGCTCAGGGATGGCACAGGAAAGAGACTCTATACCTGGGGCTCACATGACTCACCCTCTGTGTCCACAGGGAAGCGCATTTGTCTTGGCGAAGGCATTGCCCGCAATGAACTGTTCCTCTTCTTCACCACCATCCTCCAGAACTTCTCCGTGGCCAGCCCCGTGGCTCCAAAGGACATTGACCTCACTCCCAAGGAGAGTGGAGTGGGCAGAGTACCCCCAACATACCAGATCAGCTTCCTGCCCCGCTGAATGAGCAGAAGGAAGTGGGTCTGTGGCTTCTGGAAGTGTTTCAGTTCTGTGGAGAATGGCCCCATCTTCCCACCCCAGAGAAACCTCAAACCCAGGCCCTAGGCTGCTGCTCATGTCCTCCCATCACACTGCTGCTCCTCCAAGCTCCTCTCCCATATTGATAGAACCAGAGAAAACAACCATGTGCCTGTGTTGGTGGTGACAGAGATCCTGGAGGCCACAATACCTGATGAACCACTTCTCTCTTGCTTGTAGCAACCACAGTTCCCATCTATCAGCTCCCTGTGCTCCATGGTCTGTGCTAGGGGACTCTGCATATGGTCTAAAGTCTGTGTCGATGGATGAGCCTCATTTGTATGTTTTTATATAAATGGGGTAACACAGTATGTAATCTTTTATGTCTGGTGTCTTTTACTTCATATATATTTTCGAGGTTTCTCATGTTGCAGACCATAGACACACACCATCAAAGGCCTCTGTTTCTTATCATCATCAACCTGCATCTTCTCGGTAAGCCAGAGCCCCCCCCATCCTATGTCCCCTGAGCTGTATGAGCCAACAGAGCTACCTTGGATGCCCTTCTGTTTCTCTTTAAATCTCCCAAATATCACACAATCACTCAAACCCTGACCTCCCTGGTCAACAGAGGATTCATGCCATTTTTGCATGTTACCTATTGGTTGTCATTCCTGGGGATCTTCCTAGAAGGACTTTTAGTAAGAACCTTCCTTTACGTCAATGCCAGCTTTGTGTAGGGCCACCCTGTTGTCTTCTTCACTGCTGTATTGTGAGCACCTGGAGTAGCAGGTGGCCTATACCGGGTGTTCAGAATGTTTGCTGAGGAATAATAAACAAATAAATAAATAAATGACCAAACCAGCTATCACTAAGTCACCCAATATGTGCGAGACTTCTATGTCTTTTATATCTCACTTTCTTCTGATTCCAAGGGCAAATCCCCGTCTCCAAGGGGTTCAGGATGGCCCCAATTCTGACTGGAAACGCCTCTTGATCACTGTCTTACTACCTTCTACCAGAAAGTGGCTAGAAGCCATCCATTCAGTGGAACCACTTGAAACTCGGTCTCCACACATCACACTGCTGGCCTCTCCGCTCTTCCTTAGGGAACTGTTGTTTGTTTGGCATCGTCACCCATGAAGGTATCTCCAGGTGGCTGGTGGCCAATGGGAAGCCAGCTTTCTGTTGTAACCCTGAGATATTAAATTTCTACGTGCCATACTGGGCTCCCTGCAGCCTTTGGAGACTTACCAGGAGCTCTGTCAAGGTGGATTCCTGGCACATCCCACTCCAACAACCATAGAAGTGAAACAACAAAGAGACCAGCCAGCCCTTCCGGAGAATGTGCCGTAGGTAGAGTGCCGGAGTCCAGCCGTGCGGTTTCTGTTTTACCATAGAAGTGTAAGACAGCCTGTCCCCATTTGCCCTTTAATTCTTTGAATTTAATATTTACAGGCAGGCGTGTATGTTTGAGAGAATTATTTTTCTCATGGGAATGGCAATAACCAACTCTTATTTATTGTCTAACCAATATTCCAGTTTATCTTTTTCCTCTCCCTTTTGCTATTTCTTCCTGAACGTTTTGTACTCTTTGAGTCATATGATTATTTTCTCTATTTCAGTGTCCTTTATTATTCTGTTGCCATTTATCTTTAAGGGA